TGCCGCGGATATTACATATATATATAAAAAAGGTTTTTATCTGTTTCCGAAATTCTTCTGTTAGAGATTTCTCTTGTTTGTTCCGATAATTTGAAATAAATCTTCATAAAATGTTTCCTCGAAATAAATCTTCCCAAGGAGACAGACAACGGTTGATCTCGTTGGGTCGATGTTTGTTCGCCAATTGATGACCAATAAGCTTTATTTTATTCTAAGTCCCTTATCTAAGCGAACGTTTGCGAACGGAGAAATCGTGGAGTCCACCGGACGTAACAGTGTCAATTCAACATGCATCGACTACGTTTAACTGAGTGCATGCCAACGTTGGCAATACTCCGCGAACGCGAAATTGGTAACAAAACACTTTTACGGGACCACAACAGATTTGACGAAGATTTATACTGTTACGAACATAATAGGTGGAAATCAGATTGCGTATATACGACACGGATTTGGGAGTGTCTTATGTTGGACAGTGACTAGAGGGATGATGTGTGGATGGCGGGCCTACAGCAGAGGGTGGCGGCTGAGGAGCGTCGACAATTCCTGGTAAGTACAAAAACAATTACTCTCGGATAACATCAACGTTTTTACTATTGGATAAGGACATTGATTTTTTCTTTCAGCGCGACCTTCTGAGTAGCGACGATGACGATGATGATAATAACGATGACGATGGCAACGAAGCGAGGGCGAGAACGCCTCCGCAGGTAAACCCGCAGATGGAGGCGTCGTGGGATGCGAGGACGAACCCACCTGTGAGTCCGCAGACGAGGGCGAGGATACCTCCGCGAAGCCCGCAGGCGCCGGAAAGCTCACGAGAGGAGGCGCGTCATCCTAGACATAGCCACCGGGAATAGGACCGTTTGCTTCTACCATTAACGTGAGTATATTTTTACTAGCTGTCTTCCTTCTTTCTTCTTTTATGCATTTTTAAATATACGTCTCCTTTGTCTGTTGCAGATACGGCAATGGATAGGTGGACTTAACACTATAATAAATATTCATTTTTTTCTTATATTTTATAATATAACTTTTAAAATAAAAACTTTTTCATATTTTAATTATATTATTCTATTTTCTTCTCCTCCTATTCTGTCTCTTATACACATCTCTGAGCGGGC